TCTGCTCAGGTCCCTTCCGACCCTACTAACTATGAAACTTGCATGACTTAAGCATCTTTTATCAGCAACACATGTACATTCCAACAGGGTTATTATCCTCATCACATGTCACCAACAAATTAGTCCCATTTAAAATTCGATGATAACAAAGGCATCAGTCCAATAATTCATGCACTCTGTAAATGCATTTGATGTAATATAATCCATAACTCACTGTGTGAATGCACACATACCCATCTACCTCCTTGCATCAAAACAAAATATAACATTTCCTGCCTGAAGTTCTTTGTTGTTGCCAGTCTTTTGCAATATTCCTATGCCTTGCACTAAAGAAAAAAAAAATATTATGGACATCCAGTGTGTATATGGGTGTGGGTATACCCACATCCATGCTGCATTAATGGAAAATTAAGTATATATTAACGAAAACTAAGAGTGTGTGTGTGTGCGCGCATGCGCACACATGCACATGAGTGCATGCACACATACTGTAACTCTTGCCTTATTAATATTAAAATAATTCCTTAAACAAACTGTAACCTCATTTCCTGATTCCAACATATTATGTAAGGAGAAAAATAGCAATCAACAGTTCTGTGAATTTACATTTTTTTTTTTTTTAATAGAGAACATTTGATGCAACAAAAAATATGAAATAACCTGATGTGCCTTATGCTAGATACAGATTGCAACTAGGCAGCAACAGCCTGCCACTTGCCTGGTAGGAGAATCATCTGTATTCTTACAAATGAGCCATGTCACAGTAAACAGCCACTGCTCTCCCATTCAAAATGTGTTTTGAGTCTAATCATAAAAAATTATGCCCACAATTCAATTTATATTTTCTGTGCTCCTTCCCACTCCTCACTTTTAAAGAAATGATAGAAACATACAAATAAAAATGGGACATTTTAGTTCTAGGAAGTTTATCTGCTACTGTTATTTGTTTCACACCAGAACTCATCCTCCTTGGGACACCCTAACAGGCGACAATGACAATATAACCAAATATTACAGAAGCAGCTGTGAAAAAGTTAAAATTAGCTGCAAGCAGATGACTGCACTCTACCCCTCCCTTTCTGTGGCTGGGAAAGAAACAGAGCCCCAGCAACCATTATAGCTCCTATGCAGCCGCCACTGCATCCATAAGCTTTGATTCCAGCACAGAAAGAGTGCATGTGGTATGTGAGTAAAAGTGGTATTTTATCTTTCTCAACATCATCTGTTACTAGATTGCCTTCTGCATTCAGTAAGAGACCTACCCTTTCCTTAGTCTTCCTCTTATTTTTCAGGGGTGTAGGTTGTAGCCATGTTGGTCTAAGGCAGGGGTGGGCAAAATGCATCCTGCGGGCCGGATGCAGCTCACCAGGCCATTCTATCTGGCCTGCGGGGCCCCTAAAACATTTAGAAAATTAATATTTATTTGCCCCCAGTTACCTGTCATGCGGCCCTTTATAGCTTGCCAAAACTCAGTAAGCTGCCCCCCGCCCAAAATAATTACCTGCCCCTCGTCTAAGGACATAGGCAGACAAGGTTCTTTAGGTAAATCCAATATCTTTTATTAGACCAACTTGTAGAATCCTTTATTGCCCTTTTCATCCCTTAGCATCCCTTGAGTTGAATCTCAAATCATGTATTGGCCTTCCTGATTTTCTCTGCGCATGTCCATGTGATACTCTTATACTCTTCCCTAGTAATATGGCCAAGTTTCAATTTTTGTAAGATTCCTTTTTTAATTTCAACTCACTAAATGGCTCACTGTTTAGCCAGACTGGCCCCTTGTTGCACTTACTATTTTTTCTTCACATCAGGATAGTTTACTCCTGTGCCCATAATAAGGCCTTCTTAAAGTACGACCAGCTCTTCTAGACTCCTTCTACCTTTAGACTTACCTCTCAGGGGATCCTGCTTACAAGTTCTTTGAGTTCAAGCCTGCTTTTCTTATGTCCAGTGTCTTTATTCTGCTGCTCTCCTTCCTTAGTATCTTGAACTCTACCATTCTGCAGTAACGGACATGCAAGTTGCCTTCTACTGTACCTTCACACTCTCAACCAATTCTTAGTTACTATTATATGATTCTGTGACTTGCCTGGGAACAGTCTTATGTCAAAGCTGAGCACTTCTGAAAATCCTACCCAAAGATTTTGATTCCAAATCAATCTGTTCTGCTATTAACAATAAAAACAAGAGAATTGCAGGAGACGTTCTTCTATAAACAAGGAGACACTGTCCTATAAACAAGCTGTTTTCACACCTTTTCTATCAGGCATTCACTGGTGTTAAAAGAGTCCAGATGAATTGCCTAACTATCCAACAGTGTTTTAATCAGTTCAATCCTCTTTCCAAGAGCACAGAGAAAACTCTGGTGATGGAAACAGCCTATGCATGACCTGCACATTTCAAAAGAATTCAAGAGAACTGTCTACTACCATATTGTGGTTTTGGCCTGTACACTTAAGGAAAAGGAACATTCTATTCCTTCAAAAAAAAAAAAAAAAAAAGAACCACCCCTAAGATAACTATGTTTTTCTACTCAGAGTTATACCTTGTAGCTGAAAAAGGCACAAAGGCCTATGTCTCCCTGGACACTCCATTGCCAGCCTCAGGATTTCTGTTCTCAGGCAACAACATTTTAAAAAACAGTTTGAACAGGAAATAGCAGAACAAGAAATCATGCACAAACTGGACTGTGTTAAGTATAGTTTAAATAGGGACTACACATCCTTATTTTATTAACTGGATTAAGCTTGTGTGACCTCTGTGTTCCTATGGGTTCTTTGCTTGTATGCCTCACCCAGAACTGCCCCACTCCCTCCTTCTGTGCCCTGTTTTGCCACCTTTTGTATTCAGATATTTCACCCCACTTTATACACTGCTCTGTGCTATCCTTTCAGAGCACCTGATTAAGTGAACTTGAGTTCACGAAAGCTTGTGCTCTATATGCATCTTATTTAGTCTACCCTGCTTTCTACCATGCAGCTGTCCATAATCACCAAAGATTTCTATTTTTTTTAAACCTATGCCACCCCTCTGTCCCATACAAATCCAATGTGAAATCATTTTTCTTTTGTCGTGTAATTGCTGAATTGTGAAGCCAAGTAGAAAGGATGTACAGCTTATATTAAATAATGATTGCCAGGTCATTTTAAAATGCCCTGCACTATCATTTCATATCATTTAGGACCTTTTTCTTATTTTGTGTCCCATTCTTAGGTTTCAGTACCCTTAGAGGTATGGATAAAATTCGCTGAGAACTGGATGCATTCAACTAATAGTAGAATTTAATCTTTTGGGTTTGGTCGTGAAAGTTATAGAAAATGAGAGAGGGGAAAACCCTCTCCATTCTTTTTTGGCAAAAAAAGAAATTTCTCTCTGTACTTATTGGTCATTTCTTCCAAAGACTAGGAAATAAAGACAATATTTAATTGATATGATTTTAGCATACTTTTTAATTACCTTGAATGCTGTTATGCAATGTAGACTAAGTAACATCATAACCACCACCAGGAGAATTGTGGCTAAATTCCTTGCATCCCATATTGACTCAATCAAAGGAATACTCCCGACCTGCCAATCGTAGCACAAAGTAATTGGTGCCAGCAGAAGCCAAGCATTGAAGGCCAGAAGGTAGGAATAAGTTAGAAATCTGCAAAGTGAAATGGAAATACAACATTTAGAATGTTTCTCAGTTCCAGGTTAGCTTTTCTGTCTGTTGTGAGCAGAATGACTTCACATGGATCAAGGCATGGTCATCTATTGTCTATTATACATAAGAAAAGAAATCTAGACACAGCAACACATCACCTGGCAAACATAAGACATGCTGTGATGCATTGGTTAACTTCAATATTTATTATGTACATGTCCCATATACCAATTATCCATGTATAAGACTTGTGTGTCAACTTGAGACTTAGGACTACCTGTATTTCATTCAACAGCTATGTTGTGAAATGATTTATTAACCTTGGCCTGCCTTAATTCTATGCATCTTTTTAATATAAAAAGAATTAAATGCTAATTTAAGAATAACACCCATTACCCATTAGTCTTTTAAGGCTGTTTGTTGCATGGCTCCTACAATGCAAAGAAGCCTTAGACTTAGTTTAACCGACTATTTGGGGATTATCCCTGTACAGAGAAATCCCTGGGTAGCATAGGGCACTTGTAAACATGACAGGGGTTTAATCCCCAAGGTTTATTTTATGCCCTCTAAATTGAAACACTGGGTTTTTAATTGAAACCCACCATTTCAATTATTTCATCACGTTATATCACAGGGCCCAATCTTTTTTTTTTTTTTTT